CCAGGTTCTTCTATATAATAATAATCCTCAGACCTTAATTAATTTTGTACAATTGCCCGATCAAAAAAGCTGGGGTAGATCGAACACCTTCCTTCCCTTTGTAGCCGTGTCATACGCAGCACGGTCACTGCAGCAGAGAAGAAAGGGAAGGTGCACACCGGATCAAACTGCCTTGTCCTGGTGCCCACACCTCTACCTAGGGGGAGAGAAGCTGGGAAGTACAGAGGAGCACACAGGTGTGTGATCAGCACAGCCGTCTACACCACACTGTGCCGCATTTCCTAGAAACACTATAGCAGTACCTCCATGCATGGCTAAAAAATAAACCTCACATGACATTGGCACAAGACGTAAAAGCCTGCTTGCACAGGACTGTCTAAGTGTATCTGCTAGAATTTCTGGGTTTTGTAAAGCTAGAAAGAGAGCACTAGTTATCTCAAACACAGGAACGCAATAACTTCTTTTTTATGGTTGCTAAGAGAAAGTACTATATGAATTATTTTAATAGTCTCCCCTATTCAGCAAAATATTTAGAGTACAAAGCAGAATAATATAGTGATGGTATTTAAATTTTAAAAGAACAGAAAAGTACACATTATATATTGTGCCCACCAACCTGCTCCACTAAAGCCTTTTGCTTCTTTGCCTCCAGTAAAATAAGCTCTGCGGTCTCATGCTTGGTCACCGGCAACAATGGTCCATCATAAAACCATACCCTTTACTTTACCACATTTGGTAGGCACTGCCCATATTAAACAATAAATTATCAGAAAGACAAAGCCAAATTTGTGCTTCAGAGTAAGTGATTCTTTCAAATCCAAACAGACAATACCAGAAAAAAAACACAAGAGATACTCATACAGACTGGCAGCTCAAAAGCTGTATTCAGCAACTGTGCAGCTAACCAGTAATTATCGTTCGACAGAGTAACGGACACACACTGCAGTAAAATGTAATCCCACGTAATCACCGTTTCCAAAATAAATCCCTATCTCTCTGAACAATGTAAAAAGTTTAAACTGTAATGTGTTTTCTACCTTCCTTAGTGCCGTACTAATGGTATGACCACTGTGTTTGACCTATTTGCTAAAAATTTCTAGAACTCCAGGAGACCATATGGACAGCCAGATGGGTTGCTGTAATTTAGCGCCATTATGCTAAGGATGAAGTAAGGTGTAAACATAATTTGCATTCTTTCCCATTCTTCCTGCGTACCTTTTATTAGTTTCATTTTTAATTCAGACATCAGAAGGGAAGATAATACCTTGCTACGGAGGCCCAGATGCCACCTAATTACTACAAGAGACTCGGGCCCTGACATCACAGGCCAGGCCTCAGAACACGCTCCGTCTTACTCAGTGACCCCACCGTAGTGATTAATAGGTTTAGTGCTAAGCCCTAATGAGTGTGTCAGATCTTAGATGTTCTCTAGGTTAATGTAATTAGCATTATGTTGAACAGAATATTTTAGTTACTTGGTAGACAGACTCATTATATTTCACAGTAAACCATGTGCCTTTTTACCTCACAGTCTTTGAATTTATTTTTATAGTCATCAACCAAGAAGGCCTCTATAAAGATATCTATTAAATACTTTAGACAATTTTAAATACTTTTAAATCAAATATTGATTTTTTACAACAGTGAACCCCAATGTTTCACGTACAGAAAAGGTGGTTTTTCAGACATGCTTGTTAAAATTCAAGTTTCCCAGGCTATCAACAGAAATTCTGATAAAAGGGAGTTTATGATAAGGCCAAGGATTACACAGTTTTACAAATATGTTTTACAAAATAACCCAATATTCAGAAACAGAAATTCTATAAACTTCACTTGAAAGACAAAAAAAGCACTGCAGCTGAGTAATGGGACTAATAACGGAGCTTCAGAGTAGCTGAATCTATTCTACTGTTTGTTCTAAATAGCTATGCCTGAAAAAAGCAATCTGTAACCACACAAGGAAAAGTCTCCATACTGAGATTACAGCTTTAAATGTGGCAATAATTTTTGTTAAAATATTAAAAACTAATTACCAAGATTAGATAAGGATATTGTTTCCAACCAGCCATGTAAATATATAAGATCTATATCCAATAATGGATGTGACAGGTAGCATTTCTATTCTAGGCAAAGGGCCTGGAATTATGTTTCCAGTTTATGGGGAAGATCAATGGGTAGCAGAATTTCTGTTACTTCTAACTTTCCTCCATGGCCATGGATGGCATCTAAAATGTTTTAGCACTAACAAACAAGGGCTTTGGGAAATATTTCAAATACTTCCTTGGCTTTACCAACATATTACCATCCTCAACTAGTATACACTAAATATGTCCATGTGTCTAGCATTGCTTTCTTAAAAGAACCAGATACTAAATACTTGTTAGTCTTTAACGTAGATATATTTTATCAAGCTACGATCCTAAATATTTTAATGTAATTTTTTCCATATTTATATTACAAAACTATCATTTTATTTATGAATTTCAAGAGTTCTATTTGTCTTCAAATTTATACTGTATATACTAAAAGAGAAAAATAAGTTTCAATAAAATGATAGCATTTATTTGTGATAAATCCAGCATAGGTATTTACTTAGTGTAATTTCATAGTGAGAGTCCATTTTCTGAGAAAATTAAATTTCCCTTAGGAGTGTTCACCATTCCAACATTCTGCAATGCCAAGTTGTAGAAGGCTTTTATGTGACCATGGCACGTTTGTGAACACATTTTGCTTCTGACATTGGAAAAGGGTTAGAGGTAAAAAGTTCTACGTATGGCTGGCCGGATGGTGTCCAGCGCTGCCTGGATCTTCCTTAGGAAAGGTGCATTTCCCACTGCCTCTGCATCTCTGTAGGGCAGTCCTGACCAGTTGAATGTGTAGCAGAAATGAAGCTTTTTTCTTTTTTGTAAAACTTAATTCAATTGAAATTTAATTTTAGTGTGGTGCTAGATGGGGATTTATCTTCACACTCACCTCAAGCCAGGTGTCCAACAGGGAGTTCACAGACAAAATATCAGTTTGGCATCACGCTTGTCATGGTGCAAATTTCTACTTGTTTATTCCAGCCAGAACTGGCTTCGGGAGGACTTAGTTCTTGGGGGTTTGTGACATGTTTTGACTTTGGAAGGACAGTATTTCCTGATCACTTTGGTGTATTTTCTCCTGACTGATTCAAGTCCAGCCGTCCCAATATTTGACAGCTCTGAGGAATTTTTTACTTTGCCGTAATGTTTTTAATTTCTGGCAACTCTTTTTTCATTCTCTGTTCCTCCTCAGAGAAGTATTTTCTTCACTTACAACGACAGCCTCTCCCAACACTGAAAGTGCTTTGAGGGGACACGTCTTTGTACACTTCGCTTTACTCCTTAGATGGCTAGATCTATGAACACAGCACAGAACTGATTATTAGCAACAGGACAGAATTCCCAAACTATTAAGGACATTGATTTTCCACACAGGCCTGATATGATAGTAACTCCAGACCCTGGTGAGTGGGACTGGCCTTCAGAGCAGTGCCCTTCCCCCGGCTGACTGCTGGGCCACTCTCGCACAGGAGGAAGGCCTCACCCTGGTGGGGAGCATGGAGGGCTGGGTGTTGATCAGCCAAGTTTTTCATCCTTCACAGGCAGCAGGAGTGCAGTCTATTCCTTCAAGGCCCGGACCCTCAATTACTCCCTACGATCTTCCACATGGTCTGTGTGCATTCTCTGTCCAGCAGAAGGGGCAGATTTAAGGAACAACAACAAAGAGAAAAGATCTTAAAGGTCACTGCACAAATGACCTTTGCAGAGGTAGCACATAAGTCACTAAACCCAGGGAAAGGAACACTGTATCAGGTTACCAGAAGGCCTGGGTTAGAGATGGATGTGCCATTTTCTACATGGAAAGAGAAGAGAGGAGATAGCAGAGTGATTCAGTGAAGTCTCAGTTTTTATCAGTTTTTATCTGCCACTAATGAGATGTTTAACTTGGGAAAGTATTCTACCCCTATTTCTTCAGCTAAAGAATAGAAAGATGACACTCATTTCACAGGTTGCTGAGCGGATTAAGTCATACTACACATATCAAGTGCTGAGAGGTCTTGACTGAAAATAAATACTAATAAATATTCAATATTGTTACTAGTGCATTATATCCTTCACTAAGAGCCATGTTGTCTTCACTTGTAAAACAAAAAATGACACTAGATGATGTATGTAATTTTTAAAATTCTTATATTCTGAGTCCATAACTGTCCTTTGGGATGGAATATCCAGTTGAAAACATTAGAAAGTCCAAAATCAATATATTTTAAATAACGACTTTACAAAATATATATGGCATTCCTATCACCTATTAAAACTAATCTAAAGATGATGGGTCGCCTAATAATGAATGAATTCTATATTTCAAAAAACTCAGAAGGGAGATGTGCTCTGATTTATTCGTTTTCCTTCATGACTCACTCATTCATTTTAACATAGAATGTAAGTAAGTAACGGTCCGAAAACCATTTCAGTAGAAAGATGCCATCATTTAGTGACCCCTATAGCAATAAGGAATTAGTTTACTTACTGAAACTTGAATGAGTCCAAAATATATACGATAGCACTGCATTTTTACTGTCTGATGTAACATATTTTCCTGGGCTTATAAATTGTCAGGAACTTCATATTCAGAAGAAAGCATTTCTATTAGTTATAATAGTAAAAAGTGATACCAACACTATAATGTACCCTTCATTTTAATATAAATGAAAAAGTGACTCACTTGGAAATTACACAATGTAGAACATTTTGGTTTGTACAAATAAATACACAAATAACTACTCTCTTAAGACTAAAAATGAAGTGAATAGCTTAAGATGTTAAATCTTGAAAATTCATTTCTAATTATTCTTCTGATTAGCTGACTATACTATGAATACAGGGCTTTTACATACCAAGACCATGTATGAAAAACCTATGGCATGAGGGAACTGTTTTCTTAATCCACAATTTTACTTATTCCAAGAGTCTTACCTCCTGCATACATAACAGCCAGCATTATAGATGATATCCAGGCTATTTCACTGTAAGAAGTATTGAATATTTCCTGAATGTCTTTGAAGAACACTGTGACTGCTTTGGGGAATGCATATGAAAATCCAATGGATATAAAGGCAGCTCCAACCACCACCCAGCCCCACCCTCCATCGGGAGGTGGGTACTGAGGCGGGGCACCTGGCGTTGGCGGCATTACCGATCCCTTATTTGAAATTCAAGTAACCTACACAAACAAAGAAAATAAGAGTTTAAGTTTTATTTCCACTTTTGTATATCACTCATCAGTTAGTAAATGACAACTGTTCAGTAATAACTGTAGTATGACTTTTCCTAAGTATTCGTAGTATTGGTGTACTCAGAAAATTATCAGAAATTCACAAAAAAATGATGTAAGATATATGACTTTACAATGAGCTAAAAACTGAAACATTTAATCTCTCTATGGGACAAAACTTCCTCAAAGTGAAGTTAAAAATTTAGATAAAAAGTGAAGTATCAAACTAAAACTAAACGCTATCCCAACTTTATTTGCAAACATAAGGAAGATGGTACTGGCACAAAACTTAAAGTAGAATAGTGTCTTAATCCAAAATGCTGACTTTAGGATTTTGGGCACAAAGTATAAAAAAGGATCATGTATTAAATCTGATGAATTATAAAGAATTAAATTAAGCACATTTAGGATTTTTCCCACTTTTAATAATTGAAAATACTTAAAACCATTTTAATGCATTATTTTTAAAACCAGTATTATTAGAAATTATATAATCCTGCAGAATTACATTAATTTTAATGCATTTCCAAAACGGATTCTGTGTACCATTTTTTGAATATCATTTTATATATTCTCATATCACTGAAATTCGCCCAGTCCCAAGAATAACAGGTTTGTTGAATGGGGTGGGTGAAAAGACTTGTTGTGAATATGCTTCACACACGTAACTGTTGGCGGTAAGGTATAGAATAACCACTCTCCTGTGAAAGAAAATAACATACAACCTAATACATTTGAAATTATATGAATTAAGTTATACATGTCTTAAGTTCACGTATCTTTCTTGGTGGAGTGATGGTTGTTTGCTTAGCTCTTGAAAGCAATACAGTTGTTAATGTTTCTCAGTGTCTTCTTTATACTATACTTATCCCATTTGCAGGTATCTTTCCACTGGAATGCAGAGGAAAAAGAGAACAATGTCTCCACCGGCATGGAAATATGTAAGATCAGTTAATACAGGCTCATGTCAGCACTGGCTCTCAGAAACCCTGGCCTATCCCTTGGCCTATTGTCTTTTCTATTGCTTGCAGTTATTCCCTTTATTGAAGAGTGCAGAGATGGCTCTAACCTGCAATTTTTAAATAACTGCACATATTTAAAATGTAAAACGTAATGTTTGAGATATACACGGAGTGAAATGATTACTATCTATAATTTAATTAACATATCCATCTCTTCATGTAGTTACTATTTCTCTTTACTGCTGTGAGAGCACCTGAAATCTTTCTTACAAAATTTTCCATAGGCACACACACACACCGTATTATTAACTACAGTCTTCATGCTGTTCATTGGAACTCTAGACTTAAGACCCTACATAATGGCAAATTCGGACCCTTTGAAAAACAGCTTCTTATTTTTACTACCTACCTTAACTGTAGAAATATTGTTCTACTCAGTGTTTCTAGGAACTCAACTTTTTTAGATTCTGCACACAAGTGGGATCATACAGCATCTTATTTCTTTTTGTATCTGGCCTATTTCATTTTGCATAAGACTCACCAGGTGTAGTCACATGTCACAAATGCTAGGTCTCTCTTGCTACTTTGAGATCCACAATAATAGTCTATTTCATTTTATTTATACATAAATTTAATTATATTATACAAGTAAATCTTTATTGATAAACCAGCCTGAGGACTGTAGGTTGCAATCTCTGTAGCAGAATATTAGAAAACCAAGAAAAACCCAAAAGGATAAACACACTATTCTAACAGTCATTACTAATTTTGCAAATTTTATTTTCCTCTATGCATATATTTCTGATTAATTTAAATAATACTATAATCTTACAAATCAGAGATATAATTGTAAATACATTTGTATAGTGTGATTTTTTTACTCATCTTTGTTAGTATCTTTTCTTTCAGTTACTTAATTTTTAGGAAATAGAGAAAAGGTAAAAAAGTGTAACTCAGGACTTAAAATTATCAAATAAAACCTTCCATTGCCCCCATGGTTAAGAGAAAAAGAACATTTTCTTGTACCTCATTTTTTATTTTCTTTTTACATCTATTTTACATACACTGTATATTCAAAGACTGAGAAATGGCTTTTTACAAGGACAATCTGAATTTCACGTGTCCGAAGAACTTGGTATATAAATGACAAATATGCTTTCTATTGTGCTAGAAACTACAGGTGGGAAGAAATGCTTTAGAGTTTAAAATTTAACAATGTGAGGGATACAGGATGATGACTTGGTAGATGACAATGGAGATGAAAACTTTTTGTCTCTTAGTAACAAGGCAGCTGCTGTAACAGCCGAGAGCACCATGTTACTCACAAGCTAGCGCTCCTGCAGGCCTGAGCACCCCGTTGCTGCTGGCCCTTAGAAGTACAGCACATGGAACTGCACATGGTACGTAATGCTTCACAAGATAATCAACGACTCTGTTACTGGTGTATGAAAAACATACTACGAAAAATGCAAATCACTTTTTTTCAAGAATAAAGTACAGTAAATTGCACCTGATTAAATACACACACACACACACATTCACACAAACCATTTCTCTAGATATAATAACATTAATTAAATAGAACAGTTTCAAAAGTTCAAATTGCCTTTTACTTTATTAACTTAAATGTATGGTACTCAAATTAACCTGAAAGGCAATTGACAGTGATATAAAAGTGGGTAATGAGATCTAGCTCCGTAAATACTGAGTACTTACTATGCTAAGTGCTTATTATCTCTGGTATTTGTTCAGTTTAGTTTTCCCAGAAACCCTTAAGATATTTTGTCTATTTTTTAAATGAGACAAATTTCAGAAATTTTGAGACACTTGACCTAGGTAAAATAATAATATCAGTAACTGAATTTCACCAATTACTGCTGATTCTGAAAGTAATATAAATAGGATTAGAAATGAGACTACTAGGTAATGTACTCAGAGAGAAAAACAAGCAGAAGAACTGGTATTTTTATTATATTTGCTCTGTATCTGTAATATTCTTAAAGGGAAAGGTAATAGCATTCAATTTCCAGAACATGAGGAAATAACTTGAAACATTCTCTCTGTTAAGGGTCGCTGTGACTGGATCTGAGATGTCCTGCAAAGACGTGCTAGAGGCTTTCTCTCGGTATGTGGCTTCACTGGAAGGTGGCTGGATCTTACGTGGGGCCAGCGGGGAGAGGTTCAATCACCAGGCCCTTAAAGAGGATTTTAAGACCCAGCTCTCTCTCCTCTGACTTCTTCCCAGCCACCATGAGGTAAGCAGCTTTGCCCCACCAGATGGGCTCCCTGCCATGATATTCTGCCTGGCCACAGGCCTAAATCAACAGGGTCTGTCTACCATGAAACCATGAACCAAATAAATCTTTCCTCTTTTTAAGCTGATTTTCTCAGGTATTTGTCACGACGACAGAAAGCTAACGCAAGGATAAGTTTCTATGGCTGGCAGCCTACTGAAACATCAGGAAACTACTGTTAAGGCCAAATGAAAATCTTTAAGCACAGATAAGTAATGCACATAGACAGAGCTTGGTCAGACACGGTCATTAAGGCAAAACCACTTCATTAAGTTACTATTCTGCAGTTACTAAGATTGCTAAAGTCAACCCAAAATACCACTACCTTCTACACTTATTTTGAAAAGGTTATGTCCTCAGCATGTTTATAATCTGTTGTTTGTGACTATTTTTCCTCACCTGGAAACAACGTTTGTCTGTCCATATGTCTGTCTGCCTAGCTATCTACCTATTAGGTTTGAAGATAGGCTTATTTCTCCTTGGTCATCAGTTCATAGCACATGAATACTAAAAATAATAGTACCTCTAGAAATGTATAATACTAGGACTGGCTATGTAGCACTTGCCTAGCATGCCCAAGGGTCTTGGTTCAATTCTCAGCACTAAAATGTGTGTGTATATGTAAAAACACACAAAAAACATGTGTGTATATATATATATATGTATATGATTACAAATGTTGGCAAGAAAAGCTGAAAATAGAAATTAGCCTTTGAATGATGTCTAAAGAATGTGAATCCATATATTACTACATTTTATAGTTCTATTTTCATGTACCCAACTTTTTATTACCTGAAAATGAAAAAAAATCTAGAGAAATACTGAAGAAATACCAAAAGGCATTTACATACTAAACTATTATTTATCATACCATCAGAGTGTAAAAACAGTTATGAGGCTTAAAGATTTCACTCCGCAATTTTCCTGCTTTCATAAAGGAAATTAATCTATCTTTCATTACTAATTCATAAGTTTAAACTTTTGTAGTTTTATCACATGTGCTATAGTTAAACCAAGAAAAATTGGATGATTCATCTAATTTAAAAAATTGGATGGTTCGTTTTTCAGTCTTTTCTGGAAGAATGAGTAACAATTCTAAATCTTCATTTTTACTGTTAAATCATAATTTGGATATGGTAATTCACGAATATGCAAATTATGAAACAAATATAAATGTTTAAATTTATTAATAGATTACAGTGATGTTGGAGATTTCATTTTACACACAGGAAATTATGCCCAAAAAGCGAAAGCGTTCATGTAGATTTACAATGAACAGGTGTCAATACTAGTATAAATTTCCTGACTTTGATTCTTGTCAGTATTTATATCCCACCTTATGCAAATATCGCATTCTTATATGAAAATAATTTAAATGCCCACATCCTCTGAAACAATTAAGTTAGTGTGTTCCTATAAACCATCACAAAGTAAAACAAAAAATGCAAAGTAACAGAAGAAACCTATGTGTAATTACATATACAAATGTAATTATATGCATAGTACATACATAATTATATCCACATACAAATTTTCAAACACAAATGCTTGAGTTCAATCACATTCAGTTTTTTAAATTTCTAGGTTTATATGGAATTACAGGCCTAATCTGTAGGCCATTTTAGCCTAATTTTTCTCCTGGCTTTATCTTGAGCCTGAAGAGTAAGCAGAAAGACTTTGAAGACTTGGTATATTGGCTATGTCATTTGTTCAGTAAAATTTAGTGAAGTAATAAAATTGAGTCTGCTCTCTCATACTGCACTTACTTCCTACAGTAATTAGAAGGACTGATACAATAACATAAATGGTATGACTAATGTCCTGAATAAATATCACCTACATTACCTTTGCCTTTCTTAATATGATAAATAAAAACATGGGATGTATGGCTCATTGGAATGGGTAACAACGGCATTTTTTAAAATTGTATTTGAACAAAAAGTATCTAATTAATTTTCTCTCAAATTCCATATATTATACTTAATATAGTAAAAACAGCTTTTAAAGCACAAATCTTAGAATTTGCTTGATTACTGAATTTACAAAGCAATGCAATGATTAAAATATTCTCTGTTTAGCTTGGCTTACTAATCTACATATGGTTAAGTGTATAATAAACTGTGGTTGATGCTATATGTGAAGTCGTCTTCTAGAAATGCTGGGTAATTTAGGGCCACCAAAAACATAGTAAGGCATCTTTAAGGTGATAACTTCTATCTGTCATTTCCTGATCACAGAATTTGGTCTCTATCAAAATACAACTACTTTCAATTGTGTAAGTTTTTAATTTTATTTTATTTACACTTTTACAATATATGTATGTGTATGTGTATATATGTATGCATTCCTCAACTTGTATGAAATATGTAATTGTATATTGCACATAAAGTTTTGATTATATAAAGGTATGGGTTAAACAGGAAATCTTAATAATTTATTAAAGATATGAAATAAATGTTAAACATTTTATATATAGTACATGCACATATTTACATGAATATCACTTGTTTATATGTATTTTGGAATTCTCTTTTTATTGTAATTTTGAAATATGTTTTAAGTATAATTTTACATTTACGTGATCATATAGATTGTTTAATTTGATCTTACAGAACATGGCTGATTCTCATTATTCACAGGAGTGTGTCCCATAAAATTATCCTAAAGACTGAGCTTGTGAATCCTGAACCATTGTTCATCGGAGAAAGGTGAGATTAGGTTTCTGAGCACATTGTATCAGTCAGTACCTAACTGCGCTTTTATGTGTGTTCCTACTTGAAGACATATTATTTCATATATATTGTCGGTTCATTCGCGTGGCACTAAAACTCCGCAGTACTGTAACTTATCCCTGAACAAGGCTTATCTGACACACGTACTTTCAGGGACACGTCACAGTGTCTTGCACTGGGGAATACCAGACTGCTTTTCAGCAACACTCCAGAGGCCATTTTAAATAGCAAGATCTCTGACAAAATGAACAAAAACGTGTTAAGTGGGCTACAAAAAGCATACTTGGTTGTAGTGAAATAACAGAAACATAAAGGCAGACTATTGCCCAGAATTCAGACTTCAAAAGTATGAACGAACAACACAAATAATAAAGAAAAACACATCAACCAGGATCCTCACACCAGAATAAACCACAGTAAACATACTGGTGAATACTATAGTAAAGTTTCAGTCATACATGTGTATGTGCATAAGATCTCATACAGAAATAACAGCTTAACATTCTATTAAAATTATATGTATAATTATGTACTGTGGGAAACAAAACTTTTCACTAGTTTGAGTATTCCTAAATCTTCTCACAATCAGATTAAGATCTTCTAAAATCCAGCTTGCAATGATGTTGGCATATCATCCCTTGGCCTACCAAGGACACCATATCATTGCCCAGGCTATCAAAAGCGCTGAAGATTCACATTTCTCCAGGGAGTCCTATAACTGTCTCTGGGTTTTTCTTCCAAGCTGGTTATGCTATTGTAAGTTTTGGCACTGATGCTTTCTTCGTCTCACCAGATCACATCTATAGAAGATATTCACAAGACAGCAGCACTTATATTCCCTCTTCTAATGGTCCCGAAAGGTCTGATGGTTGAAATATGGAGGAACTGATACTAACCAACCATCTGAGCCACAAAAGTTGTATGTGCCCTGGGCATGGCCCCATTGCCACTTTAACAATACTGGGAGTAAGATGTCACCCAATATCAGACATCCTCTTTGCAGAGATGTTAATCGTGATACAATGTCCTTCTGAGAACCGAAGACATAGTAATTTAAACAGTGTTATGTATAATTTTATTATACAAATTTAATAAAAATAAATGTACTGCATTGGGTATTTTATTATTTGAATTTCTCATGTACTTGTTTGATAAATTCATCAATCCATATGCACATCTTCAAGTTTAAGAGTCTACCATTGGTTAATACTCCTTATGCTACACAGCTAAACCCAGGAACATTCAGACCATTTGCCGTATCTCAATATTATGGTTATATATTAGTAAGTACTGTTTATATACTTCCGATCTCAATTTGACCCAAATTCCTCACTGCGCCTCTTCTTCGCTCTTATAGTAAATAAGTTGCAAGCTCCTGTAACATCATTGCCTTTGGACATTTCTAATGATTTATTCAATATGTCTTTCCCAGCAGAGACAAAGATAACAAGTCAATCACTGTATCCTAATTCTCAGTATAATTACTGATACACAGCAAGGTACTTTTAACTTTACCTGTTGACAGGTGCGCCCTTGAACAGGGTCCCTAAGGTTGTACGTGGATCTTCCAGGCCTAGTCACTTTACACCGAGGTGTAATGTGTGACGGCAGTATAAGGAAAGGAGGTAGAGCAGACTCTGGATTACCTGAAACAAATGAGACAGCGAGCGTTACACGCATCATTGAAATTTATACACCTCATTACAGCCACTGGCTTTCAACCCATCCCAATAACTGTGACCATCTTTTAATAATTAGAAAAACTGAATGCACATATACTTATATTTGTCAATCCTTTAATAAAACTAAGGTATGACCAAAATGACCAAATGTGCCCATAAGAAAAAAAATGAAAGACCAAGCATCACGCTTTTAAGAAAAATAAGTAAGTAGATTATATACCTACCATTATGAGACAGAATTTATTGGCATTCATTAGCTGTCCCTCAATACCCTGTACCCATTTAAATAACGTGCTTTAAAAGTCAATGAAATAAGCACCCACAGACAATGGAAATAATAGAAAAGTCTGTTCATTTTGTTTGCTTGCTTTGGGTATTTTTTGTTGGTACTAGGGATGGAACTCAGAGGCTGAGAGAGGGTCTTGCTAAGTGACGAGGTGCCCAGGTGAGTTTGAACTGGTATGGTTTGTACCCAGGGCTGCCTATTTTAAAGTGCTGAATGCAGTCAGGCATGGTGGGGCATGCTCATAATCCCCACTGTTCTGGCAGGCTGAAATATGAGGATCTCAAGATAAGGTGTGGTCTTCAGTAACTTGCTCATTTAGTGAGATATAGTCTACAATCAATCAGTCAATCAATCCATCAATGCCTAGAGATGCAGCTCGCTGTGAAGGTACCAGAAAGGAAGGGAGGGAGGGAAGAGGGGGAGAAAAAAAAGAATGGAAGGGAGAGAGGGAAAGAAGGAAGGACAGAGGAGGGGAAGAACAAGAAAGAGAGAAAGAAAGAGAAACAGGGAAGATAGAGGGGGAGGGGGAGGGGGAAGGGGTACGAGACAGACAGAGACCTAGAGGAGAGAGGAACGGCCAAAAGGAAGTAAGAAGGGATGGGATGGAACTGGACTGGAGGGAATGGAAGGGGAGGGGCGAGTAGAGGGGGAGGGGAGGGGAGAAGAAGGGGAGGGGAGAGTGAGCCAAATGAAGACAACGCAGCAACCAGGTCAAAGCAAGCTCGCAGGAAAGGATGAAGAAAGTGTGATCTAAATGAAGAAGGTGCGAAAGGCTGACAGTGGAGTCTAAGGATTACTGAAGGTGCTTAAAAGCCACAGACACAGCCTGAGAAATTGCTAAGAACGCCACTCAACGTTTGCCTCGTGATAAGAATAAAGAGTTCACAACAAATCGGTCCCCTGGGTCTAACAATATCAAGAATAGGCTCACGTCAGATACTCCGAGGCGTCTTAAAGCTGGGTAACTCAAGAACGCAGCTCCATCCCTCCCCAGGAAGCAGCCCCACAAAGGCAGAAAACTTTTATATTTCATTTCCTGCGGCATCGGGAACTTCCAGGTTCAGAGCAAAGCCTCAAAGAAAGCCTGAGGCATGTATGAAAATCAGGCTTAGACCGTGCAGTGCGTCATGAACTATACTTCTGATTTGTACACATCAGCTTAGGGGACAAGGAAAAAAGAGATCTTGAAAAGTCCCGATTGTACACGCTTACCAAAATGTCTATGAAATTTTACACTGTCTTAACACAACTGGCCCATTTTCTTTCAGAAACACAAATTCACATCGTGGATTCTTTTCAGTAAATGAGTAAATAATCTAGTAACCCCTTCCCTGATAGTTCCATCTACCTTAATCTATGTTACAGCCACTCTCTACATGCATTAAACTGTCACAGTCTGATTTATACAGATATATGATATATTGGTCTTTAGTTTTAAAAATGAAAGGTAGTATTTTAGAGTTTGTGTGTGTGATTAAAAAGGAAGTAAGAAAATTCTTAAGCAAATAGGAAGGCTTTTTGAAACTTAACTATTTTGGGGACTACTTCCTGGAGTCTAGGTAGGCATAAAACTTATTACTGGCTATAAAAGAAACGTCAACTATTGCAGCTAGCGGTTGGGATGTGGTATCTGCTAATTTTACCTAGCCATCGCATTATGGCACATGTTTTATAGAAGTCTTTACTATACAGAGTATATGAAAAAGTCATGTTTTAAGGATCTCTCCATTTTTCCTAACAATTCAGTTGATTTTGATAATCTCATGAACGCAGGGAAACTGCTATTTTGAGTCACATTTCATAGATGAAGGCATAAAGGATCAGGGTGCAAAGTAACTTTTCCATCATGTGGTGTCCATTAGGTGACCAAACCGGTACTATGACTAACTTGTACCCTTTTATCACAGTGCTGATTCCACTTTAAAATACCAACTTGGAGGCTGTTCCTTCTACATAAAATTATGCTCCTTCAATTTTATTTCTAGTGAATTTCAAATTCTTTTTTGGAATTCAAAAACTACCACTGTACTTCAGTCTTTTACAGTTCATCTTTGTTCCAACTTGCTTTTATCTGTGCTTTCTATAGCATTTTGCAGTTTGTACAATATAAAAGACTCTTACCATTAACAAAAGAATGTCTTGAAAGACTGAAAACATTTGAATACTTCAAGTGGTTTTCAACACCATATGTAGTGCGGCATGTAATAAAGCCCAGGAACTTAGCCAGATGTAGGATACAGGTAATAAAACTATTAATGACAGTCAATGTGTCGGCTCTAGTATTATAGTCAGGATTCTCTCATTCAGTGGCACTGAATATTGAAATGTTTCTTTATAAATTTTGTGAATGACCTTGCCTTCAACTTCCCCAGCCTAAACCAGCATGCATCTACAAGGCCTTAACAACAGTTTACACCACCTAGTTTATCTTTCCAAATACGGTCCAGGAATAATGTACTCAGCAAACCAAGTGCCGGATTAAATCAATAGGGGTTAAGAAAATATCAACTTCACCATAAATTTATCTAAATAGATTATCATTAAAGCTTGAATTTTCCTTCAATCCTACCTATACAATGGCCTATGATTACACAAATTAATTAGTATATTTCTCAAGGAATAGTTGACTGCTCTTTCTGCTATTTCTTCTATCTTATGCCAAAGGATATGGCAATGTCAAATTAATGTATAATATTTAAGTTTGGGTGATAACTGGCCCAATTTTACAACAGAAATGAGACTAAACCAAATCTTTTCTTTTTCAACCTGTGATGAATTAAAACTGCAATCTAAGCTTACGGGGCTATATTATTCTTCAAAGTAGGTCATCTATTAAATTCTATTGGCTGATCTTCTTTAACATTTAGACCAAAATGCAGGCAGTAGTTCATGATACACAAAATGTTACTAACACCGGAACTTTTTAAAAATGTAAATTATTGCTTTATTTAAAATGATTTTCAGAATGCAAACTCATAATAAATAGCAAGCTACCTAAAGATGTCTTTTGAATAGGCAAATTAGGCAAAAGTATGAACCAGTATGTAACCATCTAAGCAGAACTGTAAATAAACATTCCCTACTAAATAATCCCCTAATCTCTAATATGGTAATTTTAGAACTGTGCAAAAACAATTACAGTAGCTGAAATGGTATCTCTGTGTCCACGTCCTAATTCCTACAACCTGTAATATTACCTGCAACTGCAAAAGATGCAGCTAAGCAAGGGATCCTGAAAGAAAATACGATACTGAGTTATCCAGGTGGGCCCTAAGTTCAATCACATGTGTCCTTATAACAGAGAGAAGCAAATGGGATTCACAGACAGACACACAGACAAGGAGACACAGAAAGGACATGTTGACCTGAAGATGGAAACAGAGCAGGACGTGCAGTGACCACAAGCCACAGAAAACCCAGGAACGGTAACTGTCACCAGGTGCTGGAAGAGGCCTGGGCAGCCGCCCACAAAACCACCTCCAGGTGTAGCTTTGCACTGCTCATTGGCCTCCGGAAGTGTAGAGAGGATCTGTTATCTTAAGCCATCAAGTTTCTAGTGATTGGTTAACACCGTGGGAAAACAGAACAGTAGCAGTGTTAATCATTTATAAAATCATGAGTCTAGCAAATGCACGGTAAGAATCTTTTTATAGGTACAGCTGCACAAGTACGCAAAGACACATGCACGGGACGTCCAGGGAAAGCTACCAGAAAACAAATACACTGTTTCACAGCCGTTAAAAAAGCACGAATCCCGCCCAGCTGTAAAAGGAATGAAACAGATCTCTATGCACTGACTTGGATGGAATGTTGTCAGACATATAACAAAATAAAAATTAAGCTACAGAATGGAAAAAACACGATTCTGTTTTTTAAAGTGTGTGCAGCTAAAAATTTATTACACGGTTGGGGAGCGGACACTCCAAAGTGCAGCCCCTTGACAAAGTGGGGAACAAGTCTTAGAGTCAAGCTGTCTGGCCATCCCACCTCACTCCCTCGTCTCTTGGTCCTCGTCCTCACTCCAAAGCAGAGAGAAAAGCTTTGCTCTGGATATTCCCTTCTCTGCCTTAAGCCTGCATTTGCCTAAGAGAACACAGTTACCTTTCATCTTCTCGCTAAAATTTCATTATTTGTGGCAGAAAAGAACTGAGGAATGTACCTACACCTAGAAGGACTTTTGTCACAAGGTACCTTTTGCTTGGGCTCCTTCAAACTATAAAGAGAATCATTTCCAAGTCAGTGCAGTTTCTGTCACCCAGGCCCAGGCATCCTCAGTAATAAACCCTCCAGAAGAACTGCCCACACGTCCCTTCATATCTCTGACCCGTGACGAAAGCTACTAAGTATCAGAGGTAGGGCGGTGGATGATTACACTCCTGGGCTCCTCCGCCTGTGCATGTCAAATTTTAAAGTTGTATGTCCTTTTTCCTATTATTCTGTCTGTTGTCAATTCATTTCAATAAACCTCTGGAAGGGGCAGGAGATTTCCTATCACTCCTATGTAAAAACATTTATATAAGCATCCAAATTATCCAGAATAATACACTGAAAGTGATTAACAACAATCAGCTTTGGAAAGCGGCTAGGTATAATTTATGTACTTTTGAAATACTTCATATTATATAATGAATAACATATTTTATAATAATAGAGAAATGATAACATGCAAAACTTTAGA